TTATGTATTTAAATTATGCATGAATATTCCCAAACACTATGACAGTGCGATCTCTGTGTGAGATGTGATTGTTGTCATATTTCTATAAAAATCTAAAATACATGTTTGCATTAAAGTAAAAATGAATGATAAATATGCCTTTCGTATGGAATTAAATAGCAAGCACTTTGAGTGTCTCATCATATTCATTTTTATGTAAAGGCAACAGAACTGAAATTATATCATGTTTATTAGCAACACAGCATGTGAGCGTGAATAACGCAATATCCGCCTTTGATCTCGTAGGTATCTGTTCCACTTCGAGAGGGCAGAACTGTCCGTCTTGACTGCGCTTATTTCACTCCTCCCCTCACTGCAGCCGCCTACTCTCGTATAATAAAACGTTGTTCCATGTTTGTTTTCTATATCATCATAAATATCGTTATCACAAATATTCTTGAAATATCGTGATATAATTTTGAGGCTATATCGCCCACCCGTAGTGCAGATATTTTATGTAGTATAGCTTCAAATTCAAAATTATACAATCTAATTCAGATTTAAAACTGCTCATACTGCATGTATGCAGCATCTTTGTTTGGATTTTGATTAAAATAAAGAGGTTGCCTCTAATTTTAAATGGAAAGAGCACAGACAAAGCCTTGATTTGTTTATATGAAGAGATTTATTTTATTTGTATTATTTATTTATTTGATTTGGAGTTTGTTTTAAAATTTGAGTTTAGTTTTGGTATTTGACATATTTAAATTTCACGAAGAAATGTGCAGCATTTTGTCCACGCAATAATAAATTACATCTTTTCATTTATAATTTGTCTTAAATCTCATTTTGTCAAAAAAAAAAAAATAATAATTGTATTGTGAAATCAGTATCGTCAATCGTAATGCATCGTGAGTTGAGTGAATCGTTACATCCCTAATGATTACTTTTCATACTGTTCAGAAGATTACAGTCTGAAAGTATTCAGTATCGTCAATCGTAACGCATCGTGAGTTGAGTGAATCGTTACATCCCTAATGATTACTTTTCATACTGTTCAGAAGTTTACAGTCTGAAAGTATAGTCTGAAATTAATATTTTTATTCAGCAAGGATGCATTAAATTGATCAATAGTGACAGTAAAGACATTTACACTACTGGTCAAAAGTTTGGGATCAGTAAGACTTGTAATGTTTTTTAAAGAAGTCTCTTCTGCTCATTAAGGCTGCATTTATTTGATCAAAAATACAGAAAAAAAACAGTAATCTTGCAAAATGTTATTACAATATAAAATAATGGTTTCTATTTTAATATCCTTTAAAATATCATTTATTTCTGTAATGCAAAGCTGAATTTCCATCATCATTACTCCAGTATAAAGTGTCACATGATCTTCAGAAATCATTCTAATATGCTGATTTATTATTAGAATTATTAGAATTAGCAACAGTTGTGCTGGCAATTTTTTTTGGGGAAACTGCAATACTTTTTCAGGATTCTCAGGATTCTTTAAAGTCAAAAAGAACAGCATTTATTCAAAATGTAAATCTTTTCTAACAATATAAATCTTTGCTATGACTTCTTAACAATTTAACACATCCTTGCTGAATAAAAGTTTTAATTTCTTTCAAAAAAAAAAGGAATAAAAATTTACTGACCCCAAACTTTTGAACGCTCGGGTATATTGTTAGAACAGATTTCTATTTTAAATAAATGCTCTTCTTTTTAAAGGGGTCATATGATGCAATTTCATTTTTTCCTTTCTCTTTGGAGTGTTACAAGCTCTT